ACGGTTTCGTCTATAGGTTTTGGAAACGCGACGCCGAAGTCCATATATTGCCGCCTCCCTTCAGTGCGCAAATCAAAAAAGAGTTTGGACACATTCTTTTCATCGCAGTTTTCCACTTTCTTGAGAAAGAAGTTAGTGTAACTAAACTGATGAGTAATTTCAAAGGCACACATGAGAAGAAACAGCATATCCGACCACATAGCTACACTTTTGTAAAAGTAATGGTCATGGTAATCGTTAAAAAGTATCAGTATCAGATTTTGTGGTTGAATTGTGTCTACTGTGTCATTAAAATGCGATTAACCTTACATTACTGGACTTTATATCAGTTAATTGCGATCTTTTGGTAGTGTGCGCTCACATTTTGGACCTTGAGTTCGAAACATTAGACGAACCAGGATAATCAGGAATAATCAGCTGGAACTTTGAACAATTAGTCCCGTTGTTCTTGGTGCACAATGCCATTACGAACCTTCCTGCCAGTGGAATAATGTGCCATAAAGTCTTCAAAAGCAATTGATTTTCTGTTTCATTTTGACCACCACCAATCATTCTTCCCCACCTGTATTTTGGATGCGGTCATTGATTCTTTTAATGATTTTGTAAGGGCCGTCCCAATCTGTCTGTAGTTTGGGTGACAATCCTCTTTGCCTCTGTGGTCGATACAACCAAACGAAATCATCAGGCTGATTGTTCCTTTATTCTGCTGCTTGCCACTTGAATTCGATCTGGAACTTTTTCGTGGAGGGCGCCCATTTTGAGGCTTCACCGGGTCTAATACTTTCCCATAGTCCGATGAATTCACCTGTCCACAACTGTGACACCTTTTCGATCTGGAAAGGCATTAGCTTCTGTTCATTTCGAAAAACAGTCCATCGCTACCAAGATGTATTTGTTTCCATTGTCTGTTTCTGGCCTTCCCTTTTCGTCACTGGTCAATTTCTACTTGCACAAACCGTGCACCTCCTGCACTAGTTCTGTACGCCTTTCTTGTAATTTACCCAATAGAATCGTTCATTTACTTTTTGTCAAGTCCAAGTGTTCTCTGGATGAGTCATCGTGCAAGAGACGAAAGATCTCCGATATCTTGCATTTTCAACAAGGTATTTTGCTTCTCTGATCCTTTAAAAAACGCTCTAAGGATGTTGATCGAACGTTGTCATAATAACTACGACGTTATCTAGGTACACCCAACAAGTTTTCCATGACAGTCCTCCAAGTATTAATTCTATTAGGCGCGGGAGCGTTGCACAACCCAAACGGCATAACTTTAAACTGCCACAAACCCGAACCAGCGCTGAACGTAGTCTTTTCTTGATGTTGAGGTTCGAGTCCTGCCAGATACTACTCTTCATATCCAACACTGAAAAACATTTAGTTCGGTTAAGATCCTTGGGAACGGGTAACCTGCCTGCTAAAGTTATTCGACTGTCGATAATCTACGCAAAATCGTGTGGACCCATCTCTCTTTCTCATCAACAGCACGGGTGACGTCCACGGACTGGTAGACGGTTCACTGTTGCCTTGTTGCGCCATATCCTCTAGGATCTTTCTCCGTTTCTTCGCGTTTAATTCACGGCAGTCTTCTCGGGTTTTGTTTAATCGGTTGTGCAGCCCCAGTGTTGGGTCAGGACATTTCACCCATTAGCCATTTTTCTGAAGAAAGCATATCTTGATAGCTTTGAATCCGCTTTTGTGCCATGGTTCCTTGATTTCTAGTCAATTTGCTGCACCACTCGTCTAATATGTTGGATATTTTCCAGGCATCTTGATTCTGGGCGACTACCCTTTCTTCAACGATACTGGGAATAGATTTACATTCTTTAGTAAGGGATTTTCATTATCGATTGCGACCTTAGTCATCAGAACTCCGTCTGTCATTGTAATTGGGTTCCAAGGGACCGGCGTACTTACCCCGTTTCCAACTCCTGCAAGGTTTGTCCATACTTCTGCAGGCGGTTCTTCAATTGGAGGTGCCTTTTACCTTAACGCATTTCCAACGGTGCTGATATCTAGCAAAAATCTTGCGATGGTTCCGGGATTGTTCGCAACACGCCCAACACGTCCCCTCGCAATGCCAAAATGAAAGTCCTCTCAAAGTCGTTCGATTTATTTTCAGCAGCAACTGTCTCAAACTATTGACCATAGGTCAGCCATGATGTTTTCCCATAAGGTAGGAGGTTTAACCAGCATCTTCTGCGGAACAGCAACTTCTTCGACACTGCTGACCTCCTCGACAACAGTCCAATGAGGGGGTAATAGTGATTCTTCCCCACTCACAGCATGGCGTGACTCGCTGTGGTCACTTTGGCCATCTGTGGTCAACAGCAGGAATTCCCGACGCAGTTCTTCATATTCGATGTAGCAAATCTTCTCATTTACTTGAGTTTTTACCATTTCTACCTGGCCGTCCGCATCGGTAATTCGGTCTTAAATGTCAGAAATCCTTAATTGAATTTATTGTTTGCCACTCTTCACTTCTTGAAGTAGCTGGAGCTTTATTTCTTCCATTTTACTTAATTTATTTATTGAATCCCACTTCTGAACCAATTGCAACGAACTCGTTACAAACGTTTGTTTATTTAATAACTTTGTGATTTTCGTTCCATTTATTAATTAATAACCGATTTTAAAGCCCCCAATTGCCAGGATTACAACGATAAAAGTCGCCGTAGTACGATAGACACGCACACATCTCATTTGACCCGATTATTTTAAGTAACAATGGGACTGTACTACCGAATTTCCGAATTTCAACCCGGCCAATTGAGTAAGTATAATTACCGGTTTCCAATCAAGCGTGTCGCAGCAAACCTCGTCTGCTTAGGTTGTTTAGTATCATTGGAAGCGCTCTAATTTATCAAGATGTTCAAACCGCTTCCCAGGTTCTTAGGATGACCGAGCAATTAGTTAAAGTTTTAATTTTGAGCATTATGAACCGAGTTTACCGTACTGCTTGGGAAACCCAGCTTTTCCTTCTCGAAATTATCGAATTTTATAAAAGGGAAGAGGGCGATGTAGCATTTGCTTCGTGGCAACGTGTGCATTTAGGCTTTATCGAATTTTTTTTTTATTTATCCAACTGTACCGTGTAATTTCAAGGTGTTTGACACTTTTTATTACCATTGTTAAAAAGGGGTCTCTTTCCTTGTTTTCGCTTTTCTAGCATGGTTAATTAAATGTTTTACCGTGTTAGTCCAGGCTATATATTTTTTTTACAAAAAAAATTAGTTACCGAGCGAAACCGGGTTTTTCAGGCAGGTGAAATGAATAGAAATTGGGAAAAAATAATTAAAACAGCTGAATTTTTCCGCGGGTTAAATCACGGGGGTTGAAAGGGGTGAGAAGTGGTGTTTTGCAAATTGTGGCAAAACTATTAATATTAGACGAAAATGTTCAACGTAAAAGTTATAGAGATTAAAAAAATGAGCAACTTTTGTATCTACACTATTTTCAATTAACCTCCAATTTTCCTAGAAAAACCGGAAAAACTGTTGTTTTTCGTTTTTTATTCTTATTTTTGCGAAAAAAAGTCGTAGGGGTTTGAAATTTGGAGGAATCAGCTTGTTTTATGATAAAAAAGAAGATAATTTTTTGGACCTGTAAAGTTGAACCGTTTCCAAGATCTCACGATTTCTGAAAAAAACACCTCTTTTTCAACGGGATGAAAAATCTATTTTTTTTCATCGTACAGAGGTGCGCGGGGTAGAAAAATTTTTGGGAAGACATATTTTAATAAACAAAAATAAAAAATATTATTCCTAAAGAAAAATTCGAGAAAATCGCCAAAAAATGGAAAAACAGTTTTCTTCCTTCTCTTTAATGTTTGCTTAATTGCGTTAATTTAGTTGCAAAAAAAACTATTTACCTACTGTCAAAAACGGTATATTTTGCCGCTTTTCTTAACATTTTTCTATTGGAATAATATTTCTTATTTTTGATTATTAAAATGTAAGTCTTTACGAAAATTTTACTACCTCGCGTACCTCTGTACGATGAAAAAAAATAGATTTTTCATCCCCTTGAAAAAGAGGTGGTTTTTCAGAAATCGTGAGATCTTGAAAACGGTTCAACTTTATGGGCTCAAAAACTTATCTTCTTTTTTATCATAAAACAAGCTATATTTCCTCCAAATTTAAAACCCGTGCGACTTTTTTCCGCAAAAATAAGAATAAAAAACGAAAAAAACAGTTTTTCCGGTTTTCCTAGGAAAATTTGAGGTTATCTGAAAATAGTGCACATACAAAAGTTGCTCATTTTTTTAATCTCTATAACTTTTACACTGAACACTTTCGTCTAAAATTAATAGTTTTGCCACAATTTGCAAAACACCACTTTCCACCCCTTTCAGCCCTCGGGATTTTACCCGCAGAAAAATTCAGCTGTTTTAAATATTTTTTCCTAATTTCTATTCATTTCATCTGCCTGAAAAACCCGGTTTCGCCCGGTACCTAACTAATTTTTTTTGAAAATAAATTATTTTCGAGCTATTTAGCCTGGACTATGTGCCGTAATTCTGTTTTAGAGTATTCTCCAATGACCGACCGCCAGCCGTTTACCCGTAATACCCCTGGATTCGCCGTTTTCAACAACTGATTTACCTGTGGCTCCAGAATTGCCGCAACCGGCACCGCCCACCCTTGACCAGGAGCAAGATGTGAGGATCTCCTGGTGGCGCTCGAGGTTCCGGAATCAACGGGGACAATTGCATACTGAGAAATGTAGGAACCCTATTAAATTGTATGTCAAAAGGTCACCAAAGTTACAGACTCCAAAATATAAAAGATATTCAATTGTTGCTATTACCGCCATTTCCTTTCGTAAAAGTTAATATAAATTAAGTCATAAACGTTGGATATGCACAGGAATCAAAGTGCCGCCATTTTCAATATATTTTTCATCAATTAAGCTGACAAATGGCACAAATTTTCAAAAATAAACAAAACGATTTAAATGTAATAGTGACCACCCTGAAAAAAAGTATAATAATAGCTACTTACTAGTTAGAGAAATAAAGAAGGCGGCAGCATGCAGTCCTTCAATCCAGATCGTTTCTCCGTTCCTAGCGTACACCCTTTCGAAATAACGAGAGCCTGGTATACCTGCAACAAAAGGGCATAAAAGATAAAATAGCGCTTTTGGATATTTTATAGTTTTGATTACATTGTTTCCATTTCTTTTATAACATACTCGTACATTTTGAAGCCGTTCGTACGATGAAAAAATAAATCGCATCTGCAATGTAATAACCCGTATTTCTATTAAAATTAGATTTTTACAGTTGCAAAGTTCGTTTCTGGTATTTTATCATCATTTCTGTGCGAAAACAATGTAATATTATTACATTTTTTATTGCCTTTTGCGCTATTGAATTGAACTAACGATTCAAATACGTAATACGTAACAAAAGCATACGTTACTACCATTCAATTTTTTTGAAAGGGCCGAACGTTCGGAGAATAAAACGAATTTTAATATTAGCGAAAATGTGAACATAGTAAAAATATAAATCAGTAAAAGTCAACACGTCTTTATAACATTCAACATTGTGGTCCACCATAAAAAGCCAAACTGCTCTCGCTAATGGCAAGTGTAGCTGCGTTCTTTATAACTCACCATAAATTTCATAGTGTAATATTGCAAGAGAACGAACGGGGGTGCCATTTGTTTTTGCTTCGGTGTTTGCGATTTATAAAACTGGCCGAGTGATGTATATTTTAATTTTAAAACTAATGGCCTTTTCCTTCAATGTAAATAAAAAATTTAAGCTTCGCCGCTGCGAAATCACTTAAAACGATAAACGTGCAACTTTTCCGTCCTTATTACACTTACACAATAACGCAAAAAAATTAAAGGCGACGACAAACGGCCAAAAAACACAGAAAGCAATTCCAATTCCCCCCTAAACTTGAATTTGAAAAATATACAATATTTTAATGCAATTAAAACATACTTTCCCTTCCCGAAGTTAATTCCGTACTTCGCCGAGAAAGTATTTTGTGTAAGTTTAAAATATAAATGTAAAAACTGACTTTAAATTGCTTTATATATTTTAATGAAACTGGGATTTCCCCTTCGGGTTATACTTAAAATTCTTTTAATTTAAATCCGTAATCTCGAGATCTAGGAGAAAATGAAGAAGAAAAGTATTTGAATTTCAAGTGCTCATAACAATACATTCGAAATAAAAATCTCTTCCTCCTTTTTACCAGTATTAATGTAATTTTATAAAAAGAACTCATAAAAAGTTTTACAATACTGTCAAGCTCTTAATGCGAAATTCGCAAAAAAAAACGCAGATTGGTTAACGGAGAGGGATGTAATCGTCACCAATTATTTAGCGCGTTCTAAATGTTGCCAAATTGTGTTTTAAATATAAAATAACACGCATCGTCAAGATTTCAATTTAAATCTTCGTCCTTAAATCGCGTGAAGTACGTAGCACGAAACGAATTTTGACGAATTCGTATCAATTTTGAGGTTTGAAAAACAGTCGTTGGTATATCACCGATCGTGCTATAAAAATTATCAATCGTCTTGATGTTTTTGCTCATTTCTAATTTTTTTAATTTTGTTTTGTTTTCGATTTATTTTTTTATGCATAATTTGTACACGGTAATAAATAGTATAAATTTAAACGAATAATGATTATTTTAATACTACCCTATATATCGTATACAAACAGTCAAACTAAGCGCCATACTGTCCACATTGTTCAAAGTTCAAATCGTTCAAAGTCCATTCTCCGCTGTTCAAGGTACAAAGGTTGCTAACCGATCAAATTCCATTACACACCTGTTCTAAAACGTTCAAAGTCCAACTTACTGATTAAGGTTGTGCGTTAAAATGACGCATGCGCACATTTCAAGGAGGATCGGGACAAAGTCCATTCGCCGCTGTTCAAAACCCAGAGGTTGCTGCTGACCGGCCAAAGTCCATTGTAAAAGTAGGTCAATCTATCGATCAAAGTCCACCCGCTGTTCAAGTTCAAAGGTTGTTCATCGGGCAAAGTCCAAAGGTTGCTGACCGGGCAAAGTCCATTACACACCTGTTCTAAGTCGATCAAAGTCCATGCGCAGCTGTTCAAAGTCTAAAGATTGGTTTCCGGTCAAAGTTGAAGGATTCGTGTAAAGTCTAAAAGTTACCGAACGGTCAAAGTCCATTCCTCGGCATTCAAGTCCAAAGGTTAGTGTAAAGTACAAAAGTTAACATCAAAGTCCACAGTTTGTTGAACGTTTAAACTTTGCTTGTCAAGGTGACGATTATATTCAGATGATGAGATCAAGGTCAACTTAAAAGTTTCCTCATGTCGAAGCCAGGAAGCCAATTAAACGAATGTGATGTATATTATAGAGTAATTTTCTACAAAAATGGTAACTTTTAACACTTCTAAAAAAATTAATAATTACATTTTAAGTATTTATTGAGAGTCTATTTATTTGTTGGTACCTATTTGGATCAAATTGGTTCTACTTGGTTCGAGTAAATTGAGTAACCTGACAAATCAATATCTTAATTTGAAATTTGATAGTTCGTACTGCTCTATCGAACGCCTGCGCACACATGGAATCTACAAAACTCGGTGTTTGGAACGCCATTTCAGCCACCATCCTAATTTTAATTGACTTCAAAATTTTTCATAAAATAGTAAGTGGAAAACGTACGTATTACATAAAAATCATTGACATTCTTGTTAAAAATGTTAAAAAGAGTTTTTGTCGCCATTTTGATCGCCATCTTGATTTGAGGCCTTACCAGCCGGAATTCGAGGTGGTGACCGGCAAAATCGGATTCAGCAGTGTCCCTAAAAACACATTAAATAAAATTCTTTCTCTCACGATTTACCGTTTGAACCTTTACAATGCCCTTTACTGAATTTGTCGCCCGCACTACTCGTATATGCACGGTGTCCATTTTTCGAGTGCCACTATTGGGATCTCACTTATCTTAAGAGATAGAAAGTTGGTTAAATGGGGGCAAAGTTGCCAATTCTCGTGCTGAATAAGAAATTTGAAATATCTTCAATAGTTTTGAAGATAAGAGATTTTCGTTTTTAATTTTTTTATGATAAACTAATCGTAGAAGACATTTCTAATGAACACATTATTCGGACACTTTCTAATGGAGATTTCAAATATGGCATCCTGTTTTTAATAACTTTCAAGATGACCGAGAAACACGTGGCAATTTTAGTTTTTCTTATGGGCACCATACTGAATTTTGACATTTTGGGATTACGTTTTTTTTCTTTTTACAACGATATATCGCACAAGGTGGTTCAGTATCACATTTTTGCTAAAAATACAATTTTTAATTTTTTGAATAGAGTGCTTTGGAAAAACAAAACGTTCTTTTGCTGTAAACAAAAGTTTGACAGTTTGATCCATCTGTCAATGGATTTCATCGCCAATTTGAAGCTCAGCAACGTTATAACAAGAGATACCGGAGCAAAATTCGAGATCCGAGCATTTGATGTCCGCTTTTACGCAGGCATGATGAAAATTTCAAAAGGTACTTTGCACCATCATTTTTGTTGGAATAAGGCACCGTTCGGTCTACTTACATATCCATTAAGTGACATCTGTTTCCACGACCAACCACTTCTGCGAACTTGGTGGTTCGGTAAACGCGCAGTGTTGCACAGGGGTAAAATGGTTATCAACTAAGACGCTAAAGAGTTGTCCCTTTTGAGTATCGCTCCTAAAGAAGATCCACTCTAAATCAACGAAATGCAAATAGCGGTATACTTACGATAAGAAAGGAAGAACGCAAATGTATATCCTCTCTAGAAGTATAGCTAAATTCCGTCCATTAATTACTTTGGAATCCCCAAAGTATGAATCCAATCGCCAGAGATCAATACATACGGAACATGGCAATTAAGATTCCATGCGTTCTACCTCACGATTTTGGCTTATTTTTTTATTAAACGACGTGCACCTCGATACGGCGTGTGAATGAAAGGAAGGTGACAATCTACAACCACTGCGCGATTAAATTCCATCAATCAAAATCGCCTCAAAAGTTACGGGGATCCTTCAACAAGTAATAATGCTTTGTAATGGAGAAAATAAGTTTTTCCCCTGTGAAAGTTCTCGATAGAGGTAGCTAATGATCTGCGCAGGTGTAAAAAACTTCCCAGGCATAGGACTGAGAAAACGTGCCACTAAATTTGTAGGACTATATGACCATTCTACTATAATAGTAGTTTATATCACGAGTCAATAATGATAGCTATTATTCTCGAGGAATATTTACGAGGGAGTAAAATTCCGAGGGTATAATAGCCATTATTGCGAGTAATATACTCTACTTTATCTACGACTAATTTAATAGCTTGAGATTTTATCCATTTTAATACAAAACAAGTATAAATTGTGCAGAACTCTTGTGCAGATAAAGCGCATTTTTTTAACTGAAATAGCTTTTGTTTGGACATCACCAATAGATATATTTCTTGCAGACGTCTCAATCGCCCTTTGTGAGTACCCTCTTCCGATACAACTAGTTCACTCCTCCCCCTCTTCCTCGAACTTTGATAAGAGATAATTCGTGGGAGGCCCTCCTTTTAGACATCGAAATTTGATGGCCTACTGAACCTACTGCAAAAAATTCCAGGACCATACCCCTAGAAGTAGCTCGAAGCGGCAGAAGTGGGTACGGACTGACGGACAAAACGCAAACAATAGCACATTTTTTAATTCTTAAAAAATGCGCTAAACGGGTGCCGCAGGACCGCTTAGCAGCCTTCCAATGACCAGCACCAAAACCATTGTTAATTTGTCCTAAATAACTCAAATTAATTTTGATTTAATCTAAAATGTTAAAATATTGAAATGTCAATCTATACATTTTTGTGCAGTCTGGGAAAGACGTAAATGAGTCTAAAAACACGTACCTATAAAGCTACTAAAATTTCAAAAATTTCTCGGGGTATAACCCCCTCCCCTCCAGGGGAGATTCCATACCCACGCGTCTAACGTGGAGGGGGGGGGGCCCAGAGATAAATAACATTCACAAGTAGGCCACCAGTAAAAAAGGTTGAGAAACACTGATCTAACGTACAGTATTATTAATAACTATTTCACTAAAGCGCTTCAGTCCATAGTTGC